ATTGCTTTGATCAGTTTCTGTTACTGTTGTAGTTGTCAAGTCTTTTAATAAAGTCGAGTTTTGAATATTAAAGGTCTGGGTAAATTGTTCCTGACATCCTTCCATTTTATTATTAGTTCCTTCTTCTATTGCTGTTTGAAGTGTGGGTTCCTCTAATGGGGTTTGTAGCTTTAAAGTGGCATGTAAGTCTTTCATTGTAGACTTTGTTAGTTCAGTAGCCTCTAGAATTTTTTCAAGTATAAGTTTGACATTAAGCTGTGGGTGGTATTCCTCCATTTCTGTAATGTAAACAGTCTTAGTAGAGGCTATTTTTAATAAAAGTCAATAACTCTCCACCTCCACTATAAAGCACTATTTTCACCACACAGCTGTTTCAAGTTCTAATCTTTTGGTTGCTGTCAAGCACAATTATTCTCAGAAATCTCCCAGTGAGAACTTATTCCACTTGTTGTAGCAGGTTTTCACCACTAGATGAACCCAGTAACATATAGAATAGGGCTTTTCTCCGGTTCAAGAGAGGAAACAAAGAACATTCCAGGTTTTTTTCCCCAGGTTAACAAAAAAAAATAAAAATAAAAAATAAACAGTAAGTTTTTGTCGAGATACAGAGCTTTTAGGGAGCCCAGGTATCTGGATATTACAAGTACAGGTAAGTAGTCATTTAATCTTGTTGTTCCTTTTTTTTTTCTTGGCTTTATATTCCCGAAGTGAGAAAAAGCTGCGAAATTCAGCTGGGGGAAAGGGGTATTTCAAAAAATTTTACAGGAAAGTAGTTGGGAGGGAAAAAAGGAAAAATAGGGTCTCACCCAACTCCTCCAGTTGCTTCTTCATGCTTAGTTGGTGCTTTGGGCTTTCAGCTGGCTCAACTAAGTGAGGGGCCATGTTAGTGGCTGTTCTTTTCCTCTTCGGTCCTGAGGAGTTACTGCAGATCAGACGGAGAGGCTGCCACCCCCCTGCGATCCAGCAAGAGACCCCCCAACGGTGGTTGCCCCTCCAGGGTGACTTTTGACCATTTCCAGGGTCTTCCTAAGGAGAAAAACCGGACAGCAGGGAGAGAAATCTCTCTACGTGTCCGCCAGCGTCGAAAACCGGAACTGGAAGCCCTGAATTTAATTTTTATGGAACTATCCTTGAAGATGATTCAGAGTTACAGCTAATTCTAAAAACACCTTTTTATCTATTGACTGAGAGTTATTAAAACAGGTAATGGCACTGATTTCCAGTTTACTTTTCTATCCAATTCAAGCTCCTAGTAATTACCTAATAAAATATTTTATGTCTTGCATTTTGATTGTATTCAACTGTGTCTGCTCAAGTAGGATGTGCCCATCTTGCACAGGATGGCCAAGATAACCTGCTGAGATGTGGTAGTCTTGGGAGTTCATGAAATAAAAATTATTTGCCAAATAATTGAAAAATAATATAATACCACAAAGTGGTAGCAGCTGCAATGAGTAAATTTTTAATATGGTAAATATTGATCAATATAATTCATATAAACAAAAGCTCTTTTGGAATCCTACTTAATTTTTAAAAGTGGAAGTGGTCCTAAAAGAAAATTAAGAAACACTGCTATAAAAGTTTAAAGATCTTAAATCTTAAGTTTAGGATGATTCCTTCCTATTAATATTCGACAAAAGCTGTCAAACAATATTGGGATAGTAACTCATTTAGGTATTTTTAATTATTTACTGTTGTTTGAGAAGTGAAATATATTTTATATTATGAGATTTTATGATATTATTTTATAATTTGTTAGATTATAATTTTATATTGTATTATTAGCTGTCCCAAAGTTTTGGGTACAGTTAGAATACAAATTATTTTATAAGTATAAAAATAAAGAAAAACCAGCAATCTAAAAAAAATGCTTATTTTTAAAAAGTCTTACTATTACCTATACTAGTTTAATTCTTCTGTAAGCATTTTAAATGTGATTAAGCCACCATTAATACCCAGGGTTACTCTGCCTACATTCCAAGTCTTATGAGTTCTGTGTCAGGAAAGACCAAGGAAAAACATGCTTAATAGTATTTGTATTCATTGCTTAAACTGCATCTTATTTCAGGAGGTGACCAAGATATCAGCAGAAAAAGTCTAACAGTTGGAAAAATTCTACAGAATCCTCAGAAATTAGGTGGCTCAATTAATCTCTAAAGACCTATGCAACTGTTATATATGAGGGTTTAAATGGTTAGTTATACAGCTTCCTCCAATGAATGACATAATGAAAGTCTTCCTTTGAAAGCTGTAATATCATTTTATATAACGCTATACTTTGCAGATTTTGTATTTTGAAAATATTTTGTTCTCTCGGAGTAAAGGAAGTCAGAAATAAATCATTTGATGGGCATCTAGTTAAGTTCAAATTCAAAACAGAATGCTAACTACCAGAATGCTAATTTTTAATGCTAATTAAAAAAAGAATAGAATATGGACTTCCAGTACAATATGGCCAACTGAATACTCCTTGGCGAAGATCTCCAGGGCTCATTTTTTTCAGCTGAAGAACTCACCAGAGACAGGAAGAGTCCTAGAAATCAGCCTCCATAATCGTCTACACAACAGTAGTTTGTGAGAGTTGGCTGATGAGTCATCAGCTAGGAGGCAGAACTAGCAGCTTGTTGCAGTGGAAAAAAATTCAAACTATTTTTTTTACAAAGTATTTCTTTTTTAAAAAACAAACAATAGGCCATGCCTTCTATATCTTAATCATCTTATTTTGATTATTTACCTTTATTGATGCAAAAGATTATTATTATTATTAATTATTATTATTGTTGTTGTTATTTGGAAGGGACCTTGGAGGTCATCTAGTCCAACCCCCTGCTCAGGCAGGAAACCCTATACCATTTCAGACAAATGGCTGTCCAGTCTCTTCTTAAAAACTTCCAGTGTTAGGGCATTCATAGCTTCTGGAGGCAGGTTGTTCCACTGGTTAATTGTTCCAACTGTCAGGAAGTTTCTCCTTAGTTCTAGGTTGTTTCTCTCCTTGATTAGCTTCCATCCGTTGCTTCTTGTCCTGCCTTCAGGTGCTTTGAGTCCCTCTTCTTTGTGGCAACCCCTGAGATATTGGAATACTGCTACCATGTCACCCCTAGTCCTTGTCTTCCTTATACTAGACATGCACAATTCCAGCAACTGTTCCTTATATGTTATAGCCTCCTAGTCATCTTTGTTGCTCTTCTCTGTGCTCTTTCTAGAGACTCAACATCTTTTTTTACATCATGGTGATTAAAACTGGATGCAGTATTCACTTCATGTGATGTTGATTCTCTGTCTGTGTTAATGCAGCCCAGCAGTATGTTGGCTTTTTTGGCAGCTGCAGCATACTGCTGGTTCAGATTTCTAGGATCCTGAGATCCCTCTCACAGTTACTACTATTGAGCAAGGTACTACCTATAATGTACCTGTGCATTTAGTTTTTCTTGCCTAAATATAGACGCTTACTTTTTTCACCATTGAATTTCATTTTGTTTGATAGCGCCCAATGTTTAAGTCTGTCAAGATCCTTCTGTGTCTTATATCTATCTTCTGGAGTGCTGGCTATTCCTGCCAGCATGGTGTTGTCTGCAAATTTGATGAGTTCCCCATCTATTCCCTCATCCAAAACATTTATGAATTGTTGAAGAGCACTGGGCCCAGAACAGAGCCTTAGAGTCCCCCACTACACATTTCCCTCCATGTAGATGCAGTTCTATTGGGGATCACACACTGAGCATGGCCGGTCAGCCAGCTACAAATCCATCTGATGATGATGTTATCTAACCCACATTTTTCTATTTCATCAAGTAGATAGAGGTTATACTGTGCTATTCACAGCTGTGCCATTTTAGAAACATCATGAATGTTAATTGAGGGGGAGGGACACCAATAATAAGCTAAAATAAGGAAGCTTGGAATAATTTTATTTTTATAATCTGTCTCTGAGAAACATAGTAATTTAAATTTTTAAGGCACAATTTTGCCTTTCTCTATGAATCTGCCATGCTCATTTGATAATAGGATTTAAAACTCATAACTCTGAGGTGCTTGTTGTGAAAGAGTAAAAGCTTCCAACCTTAACTGAATCTGACTGGTTAAGATATACAAATTTCATACTTGTAGGTCTGCCACTTAAAGATTTGCTCTTCGACCACAAGAGGGAGTCAAAGAATATAAAACAGTGGGAAAGCCAGGTTTGATTTAATAAACAAGGTGAATATCAAATTACAAAAGAGGAAGTCAACAAATGGAAAGGGATCTTATTTCTCACAATAGAAAGGTAGATGGAATAAAACAATAGACTTGGTGGAGATGGCAAAGCCAACTGATATAAAAAAACAGAGGAATTCCTTTAGTTTTCTTCCATTTGGAATTTATGCTCCATAGAGAATAAATTAATGAAACTTAGGTTAAGGATTGGTTTAATTTTGCAGCTATAGAAATATCTTGTTATTACCTGAAATGCAAAGCAAAAAGCTGAGACTGTACCTGTATTTGTGTCGTACTTAAAAGAGTTGGAAATCATTGCTTTTTTCTTCTTTTGCTCCTATGCCCTCTTTCCTCTTTTTCTGATTTTTATTTTCATTTCTATTTATACTACAAAATATTTTAATAAAATTCCTTGAAAAAATGAATAGAATATAAAATAGAACATTTACATTCCACATGGCCAGTGCAAAAGAAAAATGATACAGATGTGAACCACCAATCCCAAAATTATAATGTTCAAAATAAGAATTACTTTTCTAAATATAAGGAAACTCCTACAGAATCACAATCTACAAATGGTAAGTTTTTCATTAGAAAAGGGGAAAAATTCTCCTTAGTAATTAATGATTTTATAATTGAAGCAGATCATTTTAGTTAATCTATCATATGATATACAAATATATATTGCACTGTATTAGTTCAAAAGAACTAATAATCTAAAACAATTTCTAGTTTTCATTTTTTTTATGGATAAGAGCAGGGCGGTAACAAAATTAAAACTCACTAAAAGGGTTAGAGGAACTTACCAGAAATATTCTTTCAAGCTGATCCTGAATATCTTTCATTCCTGGAAAAGCAGCAACTCCTTGAATCATTTCCACAAAAATGCAACCAACTCCCCTAAAAAACAAAGAGTATAAAATAATTACAGGGAAAAAAAAATCTGCATGAACCTAATACACACCCTGCAGATAAGTTATATGGGATACTTGAATATAAGTATGAGAGAATTACTGTTATTGCCTATGAAAAACTCAAAACTGCCTTTTTACAAAATAGCTTCAACTATAGCAAGTATTTCTGTTCACAAAATTATATTTGCTAGAGAAATAAGAAATTTGCTCTGCATGTTACCTTAAGAATTCCTTGAAAAAAGGTTTGGGATATATGTGAGATTGAGTACACTAGTATCAGAGGAGACAAAATAAAGAAAAACTTTATAACCATTGTATTTTACTGATACTGGATGTGGCTCACATTTTATTTATTTATTTGTATATGTCTACAGCAACTTAACTGGAACTTTACGGAACACTCCTAAAGACAACTTTATTCAAGTAGAGTCAACTATTTGCTAAGACATCATATATGAATCAGGATAAAAATATAAACAGTGTTTGTAGATAATTCTCTAAATTATGCTGGCTGAGGAATTCTGGGAGTTGAAGTCCACAAGTCATAAAAGAGCCAGGTATGAAGACCCCTGTTCTAAACCGTGGAAGCAAAATGGTTGTTTAATACTGATTTCAGATTGTTTCTTTTTTTCTAACAAAGAGTATTGTTTCATGGCATAGACCAGTGGTGGCGAACCTATGGCACGGGTGCCAGAAGCGGCACTCAGAGCCTCTCCGTGGGCACGTGCGCCGTCGCCCCAGTCCTAGGCCTTCAAATGGGTTTTATAAAACCTTTTAGCTTTAGGCCTCCGCTGCCGTGTGCAAAAAAAAAAAAAAAAAGATTCAATCAATCAGTCAATTTCAACTTCTCACAGGAAAAAAAAGATCTTGCAAAGTTGGAATTGATTGATTGAACTTTTTAGTCCCACCCAGTCTGCCGTTACCACCACAGCCATGCCCAGCCAATGGGCCACACCCTCCAATTGGCCACACCCAGCCAATGGGCCACACCCACCCGGCACCTGACGATTCATAAGTGGGTCTCGGGTTGCAGTTTGGGCACTCGGTCTCTAAAAGGTTCGCCATCACTGGCATAGACATTCCTGATCTTGTACAAAGACCTAATATTGGAATGAAAAATGAGAGGGCGATCTTGGCTGAGACATCTGTTACCCCTTTGATTACCAAGGCTGATTCAGCTGATCTGGCTGGCTAGGCACGTGTCCCCTTCCTCTTTCACCACTCAATGCGGGTCCCTCCTCTTGGTGAAAGAGGACTATCACAGCTTTAAGGAGTGTACATCAGGGGTCTCCAAACCTGGCCCTTTTATGACTTGTGAACTTCAACTCCCAGAATTCCTCAGCCAGGCTGAGTTGAAGTACATAAGTCATAAAAGGGCCAAGTTTGAAGACCCTTGATGTACAGTCATGAAAAATATTTTTTAAAAAATTCTTGAATTGAACTACAAATTTAAGAGGCAAATTTATATGCCATTGTTTCCTAAGAGGAAAAACACTCTCTGTGTATTACTTTTTATTCAAAAGCCTGATTAAAAAATAATGGAAAACAGTGTCTTTATCCCTCAATGTTGGAATAATTAGAAGGCAGATTAATCCTCCTGATTCTTTTGCTGGATCCTAAAATCAAAGATATATTTGTGTTTGATTGGGCAAAACTACTGTCAATTACCCCAAATAACTTTTTATTTATGACCCACAATTTAATGTTGAAATTAGTATTCAATAGGGATAGGAGAAAGGAACAAGAAAAAAAGGAGTGCAGCCTACTAATATGCAAAAGACCCCTACATCCTTAACTTATTGTCTTTGCAATGAACTGTGAATGTGTTTTGAAACCCAAAATATTAATCAAGCAGCGTTTATTAGTTCAGTAAGCTGAACTGATTTCATTAATTTTATGTGGAATTATGCGTGTAGGATTGATAGAAAAGGATATTTATAGTTCAGATTGAACTGCGGTGTTTTTGGTGCTCAGAAAGCAGCTGGGGTGTTTTCTTGCAGACATTTCATTACCAAACTAGATAGGATCATCGGTCCTAGAAGGGAATGGGACTTGCTCTCATTTTATATACTAGAGGTTAATTTGTTAGTATTGGTGAGAATGATTTCCCTACCAGCAATAATGTTATTTAGTTGTGTAATGAAATGTCTGTAAGAAAATAACCAACCTCAGACACCACCCCGAGGCATCCCATGCTCTGCTTAATGATTTACAAAGTTACAGATGGGAAAGACAAAATCGTAGTCATTGAGTGAGGCAGTCATATGGGCCCCCTTACTTAATTACCACCATAAATTAGAGCTCAAATTCCAAACTCAACTGTGGTTATGTTAGAACTATCTGTATCTCTTATCTATAAATAAACTTAAAGCATTGTCATTTCAATCCTTGTGTTAGCAAAAGTTCATTAAGGGTTACCAGAAATAATAACATATCTATTTTAACCTTCCCCTTTATGGATTACTGCCTTGTCGTGGCGAAGAGCTTGCGTAACTCAATGAAGCTATAAGCTATGCCGTGCAGGGCCACCCAAGACAGACAGGTCATAGCAGAGAGTTCTGACAAAATGTGATCCACTGGAGAAGGAAATGGCAAACCACTCCAGTATCCTTGCCATGAAAACCCCATGGACAGTACTAAAAGGCAAAAAGATATGACGCTGGAAGATGAGCCCCTCAGGTCGGAAGGTGTCCAATATGCTACTGGGGAAGAGCAGAGGGCTAGTACTAGTAGCGCCAGAAAGAATTAAGCGACTGGGCCAAAGCCGAAAGGACGCTCAGCTGTGGATATATCTGGTGGTGAAAGGAAAGTCCGATGCTGTAAAGATTTTTTCTCCATAGGAACCTGGAATGTAAGATCCATGAATCAAGGCAAGCTAGACGTAGTCAAAAAAGAGATGACAAGAATGACCATCGACATCTTAGGAATCAGCGAACTAAAATGGACAGGAATGGGTGAATTTAACTCAGATGACCATCAGGTGTAAATACTACTGTGGGCAAGAATCCCTCAGAAGAAATGGAGTAGCCTTCATAGTCGATAAAAGAACAGGAAAAGCAATACTGGGATACAATCCCCAAAATGACAGAATGATCTCAATTCGAATCCAAGGCAAACCATTCAATATCACAATAATCCAAATCTATGCCCCAACCACTAGTGCTGAAGAGGATGAAATAGACCGGTTCTAGAAGCCCTGCAGCACCTTATAGAATTAAATTAAAAAATGATGTCCTTATCATCATGGGGGATTGGAATGCTGAGGTAGGAAGCCAAAAGATAACCGGAATAACAGGCAAGTTTGGCCTTGGAGTACAAAATGAAGCAGGGCACAGGCTGATAGAATTTTGTCAAGAGAATACGATGGTCATAACAAACACTCTTTTCCAACAACCCAAGAGACAGCTCTACACATGGACATCACCAGACGGTCAACATAGAAATCAGATTGACTATGTGCTCTGCAGCCAAAGATGGAGAAGCTCTATACAGACAGTAAAAACAAGACCAGGAGCAGACTGTGGCTCAGATCATGAGCTTCTCGTTGCAAAATTTAGGCTTAAATTGAAAAAAGTAGGGAAAAGCACTAGGCCACTCAGGTATGAACTAAATCATATTCCTGATGAATATATAGTAGAGGTGACAAATAGATTTAAGGAATTAGATCTGATAGACAGAGTACCTGAAGAACTATGGATGGAAGTTCGCAACATTGTACAAGAGGTAGCAACTAAAACCATCCCAAAGAAAAAGAAATGCAAGAAAGCAAAATGGCTTTCTGAGGAAGCTTTGCAAATAGCTGAGGAAAGAAGGGAAGCGAAAGGCAAAGAGAAAGAGAAAGATACACCCAATTGAATGCAGAATTCCAGAGAGTAGCTAGAAGAGATAAGAATGCCTTCTTAAATGAACAGTGCAAAGAAATAGAAGAAAACAACAGAATAGGGAGGACCAGAGATCTCTTCAAGAAAATTGGAGATATGAAGGGAACGTTTTATGCAAAGATGGGCATGATAAAGGACCAAAACGGCAGGGACCTAACAGAGGCAGAAGAGATTAAGAAGAGATGGCAAAACTACACAGAAGAACTATACAAGAATGAGCTTAACATCCCAGATAACCACAATGAGATGGTCACTGACCTCGAACCAGACTCCTAGAATGTGAAGTGAAATGGGCCTTAGAAAATCTGAGCAACAACAAAGCTAGTGGAGGTGACAGTATTCCAGCTGAGCTATTCAAAATCCTAAAAGACGATGCAGTAAAATTGCTACACTCAATTTGCCAGCAAATTTGGAAAACTCAACAGTGGCCATAGGATTGGAAAAGGTCAGTTTACATTCCAATTCCAAAGAAAGACAATGCCAAAGAATGTTCAAACTATCGCACCATTGCACTCATTTCACATGCTAGTAAAGTTATGCTTAAAATCCTACAAGCTAGACTCCAGCAGTATGTAGATCGAGAACTACCAGAAGTACAGGCAGGATTTCGAAGAGAAACCTATATGTGGGTCAAGAAGCAACAGTGAGAACTGGACATGGAACCACTGATGGGTTCAAAATTGGAAAAGGAGTCCGGCAAGGCTGTATACTGTCACCCTGCCTATTTAACTTATATGCAGAGCACATCATGAGAAAGGCAGGGCTAGATGAAACAAAAGTTGGAATTAAGATTGCCGGGAGCAATATCAACAACCTAAGATATGCAGATGATACCACTCTAATGGCAAAAAGTGAAGAGGAACTAAAGAGCCTCTTGATGCGGGTAAAGAAGGAGAGTGCAAAAGTTGGCTTGAAACTCAACATTAAGAAAACCAAAATCATGGCATCCGTCCCTCTCAATTCCTGGCAAATAGATGGGGAAGAAATGGAGGTAGTGACAGATTTTATTTTTCTGGGCTCAAAGATCACCTCAGATGGGGCTGCAGCCAAGAAATTAAAAGACTCTTGCTCCTGGGGAGGAAAGCTATGGCAAATCTAGACAGCATACTAAAAAGCAGAGACATCACCCTGCCAACAAAAGTGCGTATAGTCCAGGCC